CCACTAATTCTTAACACTTCGACCTACTTCCCTCCACTCACTAATTTCTAACAATTCCACCAAATTCTAAATGATTTCATATTACCTACCTTCTCACTCATTAACTAACTTTCCCTTCTTTTCTCTCCATTAATTTTTTCTATATAAACTCCATCTTAAAACCCAGGCCCTCAGTTTTTGAAATCAACAGGATCAACGACGCCATTCGTCCGCTACGTCCTTCTACTCTTAACGCTACTAGTGTCTCATCTCAACACCGCCAGCATCTTTCTGCTGAGCAGCTTGTGCGGCGCCCGGCTCGTCGTTTTACGCGTCGTTTTACTCGTCGTTTTATTTGAAGCGAAGCACTTGTTGGAAGAATGAAGTGCTGGTATTCTTCCCTGTCTTCCGCTGCTGCAGTCAAGGACCACGTGAGGACCTAACACCTGCACGGTTATATATATATATATATTTTGCAGTTTTGCAACCGCCTGCATTTCGCCCACCATACAAGCAGGCTGCCATAAGAAAGGCGTAAAAACTAAGTTTCAGTGCAAATTAATGTAGGAAATTCATTAGTCTTCTCCTGCTTTATTGCTCTGAAATTGAGATTTATAGATTCAGACGAACTATTAAGAGTAGCTTCTAGTTTTAGTCGGCATTTTCTTTGCCATTATTTTTTTGCCACGTTTAAACTTGTCGAAATGATTTGTTGTTGTAGCTACGATGTCTTTAATAGTCGTATTCTTTAGAGAGTTTTTTTTTTTTGAAAAAAAGCATTTTTGTGAGTTTTTTTTTTTTTTTTTGTTTGGAAAACTGGAGGCGCTGTTTAAGTCAGAGATATACCATGCATGACTCTTCTGTGTATTTTTGATGTTGTAGAGATTTTTCGAAGCTCTGCGGTGGCAGTGATACGTGTTCGCTAAGTGGATCCGATAGTTCAGCGCTACAGCTGAAACGCCAAAAACAAGCAGATGCAGCACGTCAGAGGTACCAACGGATGACTGCCGAGGAGCGAAGAGAGGTCAACCAGAAGCGAACTGAGGCTCAGAAACGCAAACGGCAAAAGGACAAGGAGGTAGATTTTTAGAAATAATTAAGAAAATATTAGAATTAGCTCAGAATGCATCTTTTTTAAAAGACGTTTTGTTAATAGTATTAATATTAGCTTTATTAAAAGTAGGTGGTAAATTATCTGGAAGTTTGGAACGAGTACCGATGATATTTTTATCGCTGCTAATGATTTTATGTGATTTTTTGGATTTTTTAAGATAATTGTGCTTTTTTTTTAAGAAAAAAATCCTTTTGTGAAAACAAATATCAACTTATGATACGATCATTGTTGAGTGTGTTTCACGGTTTTCATGATTTTTATGCGTCTTGTGCTGTGTAACAGCGGTATAAAACGCATATTGTCACAGGGTTGTCTGTGTGTGTTTGTATGTATGTGTGTGTGTGTGTTCGCAGCAACTTGTCCGCAACTTTCAACTCGGGAACCACAAAAGCTGGGAAGCTGAAAATTCAGGGTAACGTCCCCCACCCACGTGTGACCCCGCAAATTTAAATTCATCTTCGCCGTACCCGCGGGTAACACGTACGGCCACGAGAAAGTTTTACAGGTAAATTAATATCTCGGGATCCCCGGAGTCTAGAAGGCTGGAGTTTTAGGGTAATGACCCCCTGCCCACCCTCAACCTTGCCCATTCGAATTCAGCCTTCCCTTACCCGCGGGTAACTGACCCACTGCCCATGCTCAACCTTGCCCATTCAAAATCAGCCTTCCCTTACTCGCGGGTAACACGTACGGCTCGGTGAAAGTTAATCACGGGTAAGTTAATATCTCGGGAACCACTGAGTTTAGGAGGCTGAAATTTAAGACCAATGACCCCCTGCTCACGCTCAACCTTGCCTATTCAAATTCAGCGTTCTCACCCTCTCGGTTACCACCTACGGCCCCGTGAAAATTTTGGCGGGTAAACTA